CCGTTGGACGTGTTCCCTTCAATTTCCTTGTGCTCCACTTTCCCCGGACCTCTTCATTCTAACCCCCTTAACATTCTCGGCAACCTTAGTCGACAAGCGCCACTTGTTTCAGTCGCGTTTCCAATTCAAAAATTTATCTCGCCGGCTAGAAAGGTTCCATCACGTCCCGAACGTTTTTCTACGGGCGGGTTTTATATCCTAAAAATACGATCGCCTCGAATTGCTTTTACACGCTTTCACGCTGATCTATTCAGGCACTTTGACGTTTAGTTACAGCCAGAGTTACGGTTACGGTTCGATCCGATTACGTTGGACAGATCTGAGTTGAGTTTAGTGTAAACCACGTTCGAGCGAATTAGACGTTAGCCTCGCGTTGAACATATGTATACGTAGAAACACGTCGGTATCGGTTAAATCTTATTTCACTCTGTTGCATCGTTCTTGTCCTTTAACCCCTTGCCCTATGATTTCCATCTGAACTGTGATCCATCTGACTACTTTGTTATTCGGAATTTTTTGAAAATAAGAGAACATTCGAGTCTCGTTCTATGTCAACGTCATTGATAACAGGAATAATATGTAATTCTCATTTAAACAAATTGAACAATATGCTTGTTAAATTCTATTTGATATCTTCACCGCGAGGCTGGCACGATATTCTAGGGCAACGAATTAAAACCTCGCGAGTTTACCTTAGTTGTTCAAACTAAAAACGCTAGAAGAGTCGTGGTCCAGCTGCTGAAGCTACTTTTCCTATGTAGAACAAGGAAGAACAGAATTTCACAGTCTAGTTGTTATGTATCTAATACCATTCTACCTGGCCATCATTCATTTCCAACCGCGTGCCACAAACAGTGCCTCGAACTTACGGGATAACTCGATATTAACCCTTCGACGGCTGAAAGTTTCGTATGTTGCGAAGACCGAGTCGCCAACAAATGGTTTAATTACTCAAACACCAAGACATCAGCACGTAGCTTATTTGTTTCCATTATTTAAACGATTGGTATATAACTTAGCTTCGTCAGCCGAAAGTTTCGTACGTTTCAAAAGCACCAAGACATCAGCACGTTTTTGTTTTTCCCATTATTTAAACGATTGGTATATAACTTAGCTTTGTCAGCTGAAAGTTTCGGATGTTTCAAAAACACCAAGACATCAGCACGTAGCTTATTTTTTCCATTATTTAAACGATTAATATATAACTTAGCTTCGTCAGCCGAAGGTTTCGTACGTTTCAAAAGCACCAAGACATCAGCACGTTTTTGTTTCTCCCATTATTTAAACGGTTAATATATAACTTCGCTTCGTCAGCCGAAAGTTCCGTACGTTCCAAAGAACCTCCGTCCGCAAGGGGTTAAAAGGATTAACGCTGAGACCGGGCTCGGCCCGACGTATTCGTTAACCGAGATACGCTTCCTCCTTCGCGTTACACGAAACTCCTTTTAGACGTAACGAGGCGCACCGGTGCACCGGTGACCCTGATTGAGGAAAGCGTTCCCAGAAAGCTAGCTGGCCACGCCGATGCCATCACTTTTATCTATTTTTATCTATCGCCACGCTTCCCGGAATCCGTTGCGCGATACGGTACGCCGAACGCGCTCGCCGCTGCGACCGCGAATATCTTTTCGCTGGAACCGTTCGCCGATGTGTTCCTCCGGGTTTCCGCGAACCGGAAGCCGGCCAGGCTCCGCTGAAATCCCGAAGCCAATACGTTCCCATCGGGCGGCGTCGATGACGTATGCACGCGTCGCGCTGATACAGGGGTTCCCTCGATAAATTAACAGGCACCGACTATTAATCGTCGATATCACGGGCCAGATAAAACCGACCGGCCGGAACTATAAATTACGTTATTTCGTGAGTCCATTCGTTTATCGGTGCCAGGAACTCCTCGCGCCGATCGGAAGCAGAATTCGGATTAATCTCGTTGCTGCACGTTGAGGCTTCGGTTCGAATGAAAGGCAAACGTGGCTGCTTCTAACATTCTACGTACAATCGGTTAGAAGATGTTCCAAAGACAGATTCACGATCGTCAA